GAGCGACGGGGTGAGTTAGGACAGGAGACCAGGGCTCGACTGAGGTCATTCAGGCTTTCAATGGGCAGTTGCTTGCTGAGAGTTCGCCCGTGAGGTGGTGCGCCATGGTCCTCGGATTGCCGTTGCTCTCTTTGATCCTCACTGATCACGACCATAGGAATGTTGAAGGGGTAGAAGTCCTGGGGAGGCAAGAGGTTCCACACAGAGTTTCCCGAGGTCGGGGTCTTAGTAGACCAACTGCATTCACTGCGGGTGGACTCGTGACCTGAAAAGGAGCGAGACCAAAGCCAGAGATAAGCACGCGTCGAAAATCGGATGGAGTCTGCTAGTACAGAATAGTAATCTACCAGAGGAAAGATTTAGGTATCCAGGTAGCGCCGGACGTCTGACGGGAGAGGAGAGCGACTTCCTGATTGCCATAACCAGGTTGCCTAAATTGCCTGTTCCCGTTACGATTTAGTCATATCGAAATCTATCGACAAATAGGATAAAGGCGGAGGCACTGAAGAATAGTTACTGACAGACAGAACCACCCAAGAAATGCACGATAAAAATCTTTTGAAATGACCGTACCAGTTTACATACACGAAATACCTTCGGCAAATGTACACTCTTTCCAACCTGTGAGGTAGTTTTCTCTAGTTGGAAAAGAATTGGTGACATAAACAATTAATATGACCTGCCCTTCACTCATCTCCATATCGGCGTTCGTAAACTCTGGGTGCTGACGTTTAAGGCGACTGCAGTTGCGACATGTTAGAAATTCAGTCGGAACTCATCCTTAAAAATCTCGTTTCGTGGTTCAACACCGAGCTGGTAAGTTATTTCAAGTAATGTTCTGAGAAGTAGGACAGTGAGCCATCAGCAAGATATGCATAGTACAAAAGTATCAACAGAGAAGACGAGGGAGACTGGGATGACCATTTCCGACCTGCGCCAAGCTTTATCGAGAGAAGTCTCGAATGCCACACGAGCAAACTTCCAGTTGTCCTCACTGCGATAGCACATGTATCCGCCGGCTCGGACGCTTATGAATTCGTCACAGCGTGACTGGCGAACCAGTGCTTGGAGCTCCGGTCAACACCTGTCACACAAGTCTTCCACAACCCCACCACAGCGCAACATTCAGTCGTCGCATGGGTTCATGGGGTCGTACGCACACTCAGGAAGGCGACCAATCAACTGTCACCGAAAATTCAAGCTCATATCGTCGCCGCACGGCACTTGGAGCTTATGTACGCAGACAAAAAAGCACTTGCTAGTCATGCATCGTTCTCGCAAAGAAGATCGCCAAAGTCGGTAATGGTGAGCAAACTACCGTGAGTGGGAATCTATGACACCGCGACTTAAGAACCAGTGCCAGGGACTCCAACACACACCCGCCACAACTGCTTACACCGCTCTAGGAAATGCAGACATTGGATGAATCTTTTGGTCATATGAGCATACATGACTGTGATTGCAATGCCGCAACGGCCGACCCAAATCCCACACTGGGAAACTCCTCCACTGCCATCTCTACCACAAGCATTAGTCCTCCGGTCAGAAATATGGATCCGGTTCCTGCCTGTCTTCATTTCCAACATACATTCGAATCGCATATGGTGCGAATCCATCACACCATGATCGGTTAACCGCTTCCAGGAGCTCCAACAGTCATCATCCCGTTTTCTTGACTGTTTTGACGCCGGGTCCAGGTGGGGAGTGGGGAAGAGAGAGTGCGGTAGATGTTGCGCAAGTCCACATCAATTATAAATTAAATCACGCGCAAGTCACCGTGTCGACTCTTACCTCGCTATGGAACGCATTTTGGGTATCGTCGACAACGACGGTCGAACTGTCGGGTGAGGAGAGAGTGTAGTGAGGTGTATGCTGCGTAAGTCTACTTCATAATAAGCGAGTGCACGCACAAGTCTCCACCACACCTCACCAGGAAACTGGTAGCTCCCGCCGCTTGAGACGATCGAATTACAATGTCCCAACCGCTATATTAACGAGGCAAAGCTGAATGATACGTGCTGCCAGAGCGATCAACTCAGCGGGGACGGTCAAATTCGAACCTGAATCACCAGTTATCTATGACCTCGTCTGACGTAAGTGATTTACAGTGACAGAGAGACAGGACCCGGGATATGAAATCTGAGGTGCTCCCTGGCCACAGAACTCATCGTCCGCGCTGTACATCGGCCGGCGACCACGTTATACGAACCAACCAACTAAATATAGGAGAGCAGTTAAGTGTTGACCGCTACATTCCATGAATTGACTGCCTCTACAACTGCACAAGTCAACGGTGGGGAGGCGAGGCGAGAATATGAGACCAGATGAAGCGAATATAAAATGGCCGTTCGACATAGTCCACTATCTTTCGTGAATGCTTGCAGCCTACAACAAAACCACGTCCTTAATTTTGATCCCATGCTGGATGCGGTGGAAGCAAGGTGGCTCGAGAGGTGGTCAAGACGTGCGGATATGTCAGTGAATCGACCAACCGATGCGCAGGTCCCAACCTATCAAGCACTACGAAGTTGGCTGTGGTGACCACCGCCACGGCTATCTACGGGGAGTTGAGGCATATCGCTCTTAAGGTGTTCAGCCCATTGTTTTTCCCCTACTTTTAAGAAGTCCCGAAGTTCAGACTAATAAGCGCCACTTCCCACAGCTCGCATCCCTCCTTCCCCACCATCATTAGACAACCTTCTTGAGATACGTAGCCTCTAATGAATTCGCGGGAAAGAACATCTTCTTGTCCGTTTCAGCCAGAAGCCTGAGCACTGCAAAAAAGTGATTCATGGAATATAGGCATAAAACAACCAACTCACCGAGTATAAGGGGCTCATCCCAGAGGTTGACCGAGGGGGCAAGGCAAACCCTGTCCAAGTGCTTAGCAAGTTCTGGGTAGGTGGTGTTGTAGGGGCCGAACATGATGTCCTCGTTTCCCAGCGGCACAATGGGCGATGACCTGGAGAACAGGGAGGAGGGGCTGGGACAGGCGGGGAAGGAGCCAGCACTGCCGCCGCCGCTGCCGCTGCCACCACTACCGCCCCCACCACCGCAGGCGCCAAAGGCAGGTTGCAGCAGGACCGGTCGCGTGGGTGTGGCTATGTTGAGGGTGCAGCAGCGGCTACCGGCCAGTACTACGCGTCGGGCCGCAGCAATCACCAGACAGCCCTCACAGCCGCTGATAAAAAGAGTGTTCTCGATGGGGCCCAAGACGATGGTGGAACCTCGGCAGCGATCCAGACTGACGGAACTGGGTAAGGGAGAACAGTAGCAGGTAAACATGAGGGCTAAGACGTAACTTCTATCCTCCACAAATAGGACTGAATAGTTGAGGCGAAAAGGTCGCAGGGAATGTTAAACACTCGGTTCATGGAAATGCGACTGACCACTGTTAGCTCGAGCAGACGGAGAAAGGAGGAAACAGGTGGCCGCACAAAGTAACTTTCATCACACCGGGGTCAATCGAATGTCCGTAGGTTCGCCTACTTTCTGATACCTTGTTTAGTTCTACAGTTTTTTTATGTGTAAGGGTATATTTCCATGGGACCGTGAGCATTGTTGCTCAGGCGAGTCAGCACTACAAATTCGGGTCAAATTTACCAGCCCCCCTCCCCCCACGGCAGCAACATGCCTCCGTCGCTGCACTTGTATTCAGCACCGGTGACTCGATTGACGTGGGTTCACTCATTAATTAATTGGATGATTAGCTTTCACAGGCCACTGCAGGGTCAAACCGGCAATTTGCTGTCGTTAGCGTCTGCTATTAACCACTTGTGGACAGCGACTCGACAAGGGCTGTTCAGTGAACAATGTTTTCCTGACATCTAGCCCAGGAAGGCGAAACTGTAGTGAATACACCCACCGCAAATTGAGTCAACATGACGCCGCACCAGGTCCTACCAACTGCAAATGAAAGGCAGGAAAGCCAATTTAACAGCTCTCAGTACGGCTCCATCGTCCATTACTGGCCGGCGTGTGCTGATCAGGAAACGAATTAGTCTTGTGTGAATGGAGCAACCCAGACCCACCACTAATCTCTCAGAACAAATGAATCTGGAAATCTGCTTTGGTTTAAATTGCGATCGGCGTGGCTAACCACCCGCGACGCACACCCAGAAAAGAGGATGGAAAAACACTTGCATTTATATTTCGAAGAAGGTCTGCCAGACATACGCATGAGTATGAACGCGATCGTTGGGACAAGAGCTTTATTCGCCTGACGTTTCGAACCCGTCATCAGAGGCGGCATCAGATGTGGGCAGTTAATGTATACCATGTTGCAATCGCTATGCCCCCATTTTCGTAACAAAAGTAACGGCTCCCCCTTCATTGAAGATGGCTCACGCGATTGTCATATCGTGAAAATTTTGGTCTCGTCAGTCCAAATTCCGGCCATGAAGCAATTATCGCACTAAGGGTAATTCTCTTCGCTGAAGGGGGGAGCCGTTAGTTTGAATAGGTGTGCAGTATCTGATGCTGTCTTTGACGATGGGTTCGAGCATGGAACCGAAACGTCAGGCGAATAAGGCCCTTGTTTCAGCGATCGCGTCTACTTCTCAACTGCTTCCAGCGCTCGCATTTTCGATTGTTTCGGCAAGTGCGACACCGTTAATGGACATACAATCTTCGGTCTAGTCAAGTCAAGACAGGGAACAGTTTCCCATTTACCAAAGAGTAAAAAAACCCCAGAAGGATACCAACAAAGGAGACAGCATCTAAAATACTTGCCGACATCTTTTACAGCAAGTAATCGGAAACCTTACAGACTTCATAAGTCGTCCCTCTGAAGTCGATCGGAAGTTAGGAAACTGAATAATGAAGCATAACTGTAGTTTGACTGCGCAGTAACAATGTCACAAGTATGCGAATAGAAACAATAGGAATGTACGTAGAAAGAAATATCAATTGTAATTTCAGGGGAATCTGTCGTCTCCAAACGACTATACTACGAGGGCATGATATCTAGATTCAAATCAGACGCCTTGTGGGAAATTTAAATACGAATCGACGCATTGCCGATCACGAGCCGAAATATCATTACCGGATGGAAACGGTGACAACCTAGTACCCGACCTCACTGTTTATATGTTACCAAGCATCTGACTAACAGACTTGAAAAAACGTACTTCAGCCAAGAAATCCCAAGGAAATGAACTTTTGATTGAAATGTCGATAGTCAGGCACAAGAGGCAGTTAGAGAAAACCTAGCTAGATTTTGGCTTATCGGTGCTCAGTCAACTGACAACGAACGAAAGGTTTTCTGAGTATGTCCCGCTCAAAACAAAATTTCTCAAGAGACAACGGGTACACCGATGGCATAACTAGGAAAAACAGACAGAGACCGAACATTGAAGTTCGAGTCTGCCTCATGCGTAGCCTGGCACGAAGTTGTCCGCGTCCTCGCCAGGGGAGGCAGAGACAGGCCGCCCTTGCAGACCCTATCCATGTGCACCCGTACTTTTTCTGGTTACTGTGGAGCAGGTTCTGCAGGTTGAAAGGCTAGTCGAGTTTCCAAAAGGATCCCTAAAAACTATCTCGCTTGACTTGGCCAAGAAAAGACCAGGTCCATCTCGAGCGCTGTCCCAATCCGTCCTTACCTATGCTTATAAGGAGTGCTTTCTTGAGTCCTACGGGTGTCATTGTCAAACTCTGCCCAAACTATGCGGATATCCCATTCGTCCACTACCATCATCATACTGAATCATACGCCTGTGGATAAATGGTCGAAAACCCCCACTTGCCAAATTTAGCTCCCAAATGGGATGGTTCCCAGGCCTCAGACCCTCGCGGCTGCGATTTTCCGGGTTCGGCAGAGGCGACTGGAAAGATCTTTGGCTGAAGACTGCGCGCTTTTCGTGCACATAAGATCTTAGGGTTGGGTATCAGGCTCATCAGAGCGGCAAATAAACGCAGCCGACAATGTCTTATGAGTTCCGGTGCCTGCAGTGCATGCCGCGGAGCACTGGAAACTTCATAGGACAAACGTTAGAGAAGTTGTGACAGCCTAGGACAATAAAGTGGGCATGAAGGCAGTAACAGATCTGTGGATAGCCAGGAGACTCACCGTAGGGGGGAGAGGAGATAGATAAATGCATTGTTGGCTCTGTGGATCTTCACGGTTGCGTGTCGCAGTATTCGTGAGGTCTGCGAAGTTGAAAGAGGACAGAAAAACATTCTATCTTGATAAAAAGTCGGGAGGTGCAGACAGGTGTATGGGGTGACACTGTGGACAACCACTTCCTATGTGTATGGAAAAACCAGATCCTACGAAGAAGGACTACGTCAATGCGGACAACCATTGTTCCAGACGGGATCGATGACTGAGGCGCTATTTGGATTACAGTGAAGGAGACTTTCGTGGCATCAAAGTCTCCTACATCTCTGTTCGTCCCACCCATTGTTTGAGTAGCCAGATAAGGCCAAGATAATTGGAGATGGGCTTAGGCACAATGGCCGACCAGGCACAGAGCGCAGTCTACGTTCTGGTCATACGACAGTTCGACCGTCGTGAACTACGATGTCCACCGCGGGCCCCACAGGAGGGTGAGAGCAGGTACAGTGACTTGTGCGTGAATTAGGTTATTGTGACAGTAGATTTGCACAGCATCTACCACACGCTCTCCTCCTCCCCCACCTGGCACTGGTGTTAAGACATAGGCAAGAAAACCGGAGGCGGGAGAGGGTGCGGTTGCCGGCACAACCGGACCCCCACCCAGGTGTACCAACCCACCCGGTCCACAACAAATCCCTGACCAGAATTCTAAATAACAGCAGTGGGGAGAGGGAGGCGGCAGGGATCACAGTTGGCGCGACGTGAACCGGCAACTAGACCTGCCACCACACCCCCAACGTTGGCATTCCTTTTGGTGGCATTCTCGATAACGTCCGCCGGAATCCGACCTAGCCTCCGCGTTAGTTCAGCGCATCTACCGCGTGACCCGTTTTAGGGGTACTCTGGTCGCGCACACACTTCAAAAGAGTCAGACTGTGCTTTCTCGGATATAATGGCAGTAGGGGTTGCCAAAAGAGCATATTGAGGGCGAGCCACTGAGTAGCCGGAGCCTCGGTCTCGAGTAGGACTAAGTTATCTCCTCGGTTGACAAGCCTCCAATTGATGACTTCTTGTGGTGAGGGGAAGTGGAGCAGAATTGGCCAAGACAAATAGACGGGGCCACAGCCGCCATTAAGCCAGCAACGTGACCCAAGGGTTGACAAAACAACAGTCGAGGGGAAAAAAACAAAAAAAACGTGGGAGATGAATCTGCATGGAGGCATCCTTTAGGAATCGAAACTGTTCAAAGTGCTCAAAAGAAAGGCATTTTTTACAAGTTGCTGAAATCGACAACTCAAAACTGATTTTTCAAAAGTCGACTTGATCTTATCAATGCCCCTG